ATGGTAACGAGTATGGGGGATGGGAGCATCAGCCACAGTATCAGCAACCTTTGCCAGACTATAGCTTCCAGCAGCAGCCGTATTACCCGCCTCCGACAATGCACTACCAGCAGCAGCCTCCGCCACCGCCGCAGCCTCCGCCACCGCCGTCGTTCCAGCAGCAGCCGCAGCCGTAGCAGCACTCGACCCGTGCCCCGTACCATTCGCCTCCTCCCGACGCAGCCGGATCCCCTGGGCATCTTCACTTTCTCAAGACATGTTTTGTGCCACAAGGCGAGATCTTTCCAAGTATGGTAGCGCGTGAGAATGGTAGTGGTTTCGCTTTGTCTGTTAACAGTCGCCCTTCGCAGATCGGTAGAGCGCAATTTTGGGCCGACAGCGGCGCAAGCAACACGTTTGTCAGCAGTAGCGAAAACATGTTGGACATGAAGCCGATCCCAGCAGGAAAAGAGTTTATCCAAGTAGGGATTGGTGCCTATCTGCGCGTGCAATGTGTTCGTAGCATCAACGTGGCATTTCACATGCCTGGCTCTTCGGGCGAGACCGAATTTCGCGTGCAGATGTCGGACGTGTACTTAGTCCCCGGCATCACGTTCAATCTGTTTTCTCTGCACCATACGCAGCGTAGGCAGAGAATTACGTTAGATGAAAATGGCGTGCATCTATTCAATGGCCAGCTTTCCTTTGCTCACTCCGATGTAGGATGTTCTCTTTGGGCCACTCGCTTGCCTCCCACGTATACCGGTAGTGCTGTAACCCTCGGTCCCGATGCCCTCCGTCGTGTGTCTCCTCAAGCTCCCCCGCCTAGCGTTGGGACAGGCCTTGTTGTCGCGAACCCCCCTTTCCCCCCAAACACAGGAGCGGGCACACATCCGAGTACGAGCTTCCCGTCCACCGGTGGAGTTGCTGCCGGTGTTGTACCTTCGAGTTCCAGTGCGAATCCGAGCTTCCAGTCCCCCGGTGGAGTCGCTGCCGGTGTTGTACCTTCGTCTGCAAGTGCGACTTCGAGAGTCCCATCCACCACGTCCGGTGTAGTGATCCCGCGTGTGCATTCCCGCCAATCGACGTAGATGTAGTGCCAATGATTATTGCCGACTACCAGCCTGTAATCACAGCTGCCGTAGCGTCGTCTGAGATTGCTTTTCCCTCCGTCGTGGACCCGAGCGATTTTCGTGAAGTTGTGATCAACCCCCTCATCCCCCGACCATTTGCCTCTCATGGATATGAGCATGTTCCTTGATGTAGGCCTGATGGATGGAATAGACTCGGTCCCGCAGGGTGATTTTTTTCCGGATGCGCTTGATGTTTGCGACTCTGCAAGACCCCCCCCCCCGCGCGTTTGCCGTGATGAGTGATGAAATGGATTGCCTCGAGGGTTTTGTTGCTGGATGCAGTGAGCAGCAAACCGTAGCTCCCCCCTCCCTCTCGCATGCCTTGGCGATTATCGCCCCCGGTGCTTCCCCGTTTTCGGTTGGAAAATCCACTCCGACCATTGACATTAGTTTGTTCCATGCCTCCACCGGCCATGTAAACGAATTTGTGATGCGTGAAACGGCCAAGCAGCAGGGCGTGCGACTGGTGGGGGAAATGCAGCCATGTGTGGGCTGCGTGGAGGCGAAGAGCAGGCGGGCACTGGTGCCGCGGCGTGGCACGCGCGCTGCGGTACCGTTCGGCAAAGTCCACATCGACCTCACGGGCCCGTTGTCTGACGCGCTGGACGGCTCCCGGTTCCTGATCATGTTCGTGGACAGCGCATCGCGGTGGCAACGGGGGTACGGGATGCGGGCCAAGAGCGACACCCTGAAGTTCGTGCAGCGGTTCCTCGCCGACATGAACGGCATGGGCACTCCGGGGTGTTTCCGCATGGACAACGGCGGCGAGTTCACCGGCTCCGCGTTCACCTCGTTCTGCGACGCTGCTGGCATTCGGCGCGAGTACACCGCCCCCGACACCCCCAAGCAAAACGCGGTGGTCGAGAGCGCCATTTGGCGCGCCATGAAGGGGGGCCACGCCGCGCGCCGCCACATCCTCGCCATGGGCCACGTCGACCTCTCCTCGATCCCCAACGTCGGCGTCAACGGACATCGCTGTGGCTCGCGTCGGCGCTGTGGGCATCCGCCTGCTTCAACCGCTCCGCGACGAAGGCCAACCTGGGCTGGATGTCGCCGTTTGAGGCGTTCTTCGGCCGGAAGCCGCCCCTCACCGTCGTCCCTTTTTTCCAGGAGGGGATGATGCGCGTGAAGCGGGCCACCAAGGCGGACGTCCAATCCGCGCGGTGCTTCTACTTGCACGGCGCCAACAACCACTCGACGTCTACCGCTGTCGTTCTTCGCGCTGACACCGGTCGCCTCGCCCTCACCAACAACGTCGTGTGGGTCAACCGCCGGGCAGGAGCGCCGGCCCCGGTGCCGGGCATCGGGGGGGGTTCTTCGGTCACCGCGGCGCCCTCGCCGGCCACCGCCGTACCTGCGGCCGATGCCGCACCGCCGCCGCCCCCTCCATCAAGGACGTACACCTACATCCCGCCTGCACCAGCGACCACCGCACCGCCGCAGCCCGCTTCCCCGCCGATCTTCACAGGATCCTCAGCCCCGTCGCCGATCTCCGTCGCCCCATCATCAGCCCCACCGTCGACCGCAACAACGCCGCCCCGTTCGCCCCCGGGCCTGCCGCCGCCGCCGCCGCCGCCGCCGCCGCCGCAGCCCACCAGCACCGCCACCCCCGTTCCCCCGCACCCGCCGCTTTCGAAACGAGCCGTAAAGGAGTTGGGACGAAAGGACACGAGGGTACACGGCCGCACGCGCGGCGATGGAGTGCGGTTCATGGAGGAACAACAACCACCGCCGTCCGCTAGCGGCACCGCTCTCCACCAACGTCTTGGTCTGTTGGCGATGATGGACAAGGACTCCCTCATCTCGTCGCTCGCCACTCGGGAGGCCGTGGATCAAGGACGCCGCGACCTGCCGCCCCCGCCGCAGCCGGATCCGAGTCTTGGAGGCCGTGGAAGCGGGGGGGCTGTGGGAGCTGGGGGGCCCGTGGATTCTGGGGGGGGATGGAGACCGCAGATGTTCGCAACGATGTTCGCCACCCGCGAGGATGTGGACGCCGCTCTTCGCGCCGAGCGCCCGCCCGACAAGATGCCAGACCTTCCTCACCGCCTCGCCAGCGACCTCCGCGTGCCGAAAACGTTCAAGGAGACCATGCGGTCTCAGCATTCAGAGTTGTGGGATGATGCAATCGATCAAGAGTTTTTCGGTTTATTGGATGCAGGAACTTTTAGTCCGGTGTAGCAACCAGTAGAGAACGCCATCAATGCTATGTGGGTTTTTAACTGTAAGGCAGACGAGCGCGGATGGCCGACGAAAATTCAAGGCAAGACTTGTAGCGCGGGGGGACATGCAGAGGGCTTCGATTGATTTTGGAGGATTGTTTGCACCCACCGTATCAGTGTCCAGTGTGCGCTTGTTGGCAGCACTAGCATGCGAGCAGAATCTTGACTTCTGCCATTTCGATATTCAGCAGGCTTTTGTGCAGTCTGAGGTTGATGAGGATGTTTTCATGCGCTTACCGCAGGGGTGTGGTAGGTTATCTGGCCTGATCGTGAAGCTGTGCAAGAGTCTGTATGGCTTGAAGCAGGCATCACGACATTGGCATGCGCACCTGACGAGGTGTTTGTTACTATTAGGTTTTTTGCAGTGTCTGGCGGATGCATGTGATTTTCGATTGATGGAGGAGGGACATGTGATCATGATCATTGTGGTCCACGTGGATCACAATTTTGCCGTAGGGCAGAAGGAAAGGTGTGACAAGTTTGGCAGGGATCTCATCGAGATGGTCCCCGTGAAGAACCTTGGAGAGTTGAGGTGGTACTCCGCGTGCTTTTACGACTGAGACGTAGAGAGAGGGCTGTTGAAGATTTCGCAGCAGAGGTTTGCCGAAGAGCTGGCTGCAGAGTATGGCGTTGAGTGGGGGCAGAGTGTGCCTCTGCCTGTGAGCGTAAAGCTCTCCGACTTTGACGTGAATGAAAAGAGTGCTGATGTCCCTTTTCGCGAGTTGGTAGGATCTCTGATGTGGTTGGCCACTCAAACACGGCCGGACATTGCGAATGTAGTTCGAGCAGTAGCGCGGTATTGCGCGTCTCCCAAGATGATGCACTGGAAGGCAGCACTCGGTATTTTAGGATACGTATGCAGGACGAGTTGGATGGGGATTACATTTGAGAGGGGCGTCGTGACAGGTTTGAGCATGCAGGTGTTTGTTGATGCCGACTATGCAACCAAGGCGGCAGACCGGAGGTTGGTGTCTGGGGGGCTGGTGGTGTGTGTGGGGGGGCGGTGTGACTTGGTTTTCACGAACGCAGAAGTGCGTTACGCTTTCCACCACGGAAGCAGAGTATGTGGCAATTACCGACGTCTTGAAGGAAGTGTTGTTCTTGAGGCAGGTGTGGCGTTTGATGTTGCCAGATGCGAATTGCCGTTCATCCCGGTGTTCGAGGATAATCAGGGAGCGATTCAGATTGCGCACAACCCGATCACGAACTCCAACTCGAAGCACATCGATGTACGGCATCACTTTATCAGGGAGCTGGTAGAGAGGAAAGAGATATCAATTACTCATGTGCCGACGCAATTTCAGCATGCAGATTCCTTGACGAAGGCTATTAGCAAGGAGTCTTTTGCGTTGCACCGTGACTTTGTGATGAACTAGCAGTGAAGGAAGTGTTTTTGGGGTCGATTCGTATTTTGTAGCGGAGAGAGAAAGAGAGAGACGAGATTGGACAAGAGAAAGAGAGAGTCTGATGAAGGTGGTAAGGGTGTTGGAGTTGTGTTAAGATTTTTCTTGTTTGTTTTGGAGGAGTTTTAGTTGTGTTGGGGTTTTTCTTGTTTGTTTTGGAGGGGTTTTGGTTGTGTTGGAATTTTTCTTGTGATTGACTCGGGAGGGTTCTTGCATGTTTTGGTGAGGATATTGGATTTGGATGCTTTGAGGATTTTCTTGTTTGTTTTGGGAGAGATGGTACATGAGGAATTTGTTTTTTGCCGAAGCATGACGATGCATACGAGCAGGGGGGCTATTAGATGTATTGGGGGTATTCGTAGCATAGTATGACGGGTACGATCTTCAGTCCGTACGTACGGAAATTGCTTTGATGAGATGCGGAGGAATCAGAGAGATCCGTTTAGTAGTTTGAGTGTGATGAGCGTGACGCGTGGTTGATGCCGTGACAGATTAACGAGCACGAGCACGCCCCCGAAGAAAAATAAATACAATATGTTTTCCTGTACGTCCCTCCCCTACCACGGCCCGTGATGGCCCAGCTGCTCTACACTCCCAACACACAGAACTGAGCCACCCGAATTATCAATCACCTCCTCCCGGGCACAGTTGGCGTGGGGAAGAAAACTATCAGCAGTGTAGGCAGCGTTCGTTCCCTGGTATGAACGTCTGCGTGTCGAACTGAATGTTCGCCCACTATCCCAGAAGGGGGGCATCGGGGGCATTGTGCCGGCAAGAATAACGTGTCGCCTGACCGAGCGGTCAATATGCGGTGTCATGTCGTAGATAGGACTAGTTTGCGCGAACCCACCTGCGCTGAGTTCCCATGGCCACAAGCCATCGTTCGGCCAAAACCGACGCAGATGATTTGCCGAGATAAATGTATGTCCAAGAACGAGGCCACGTGCTGCTCTCTCTTTGACAAATAAAGTGATCCCCCAACGGTATAGTGTCATAAGTATAGGGCTTGAATGAGATTCCGCCCTCCCTTGCCCTGCTTCCTGCATTCGAGCATACAACGACCCACCGTGAGATGAAATATCACAGGGACACGACCGGTCCTTCCTTTGACAAACGCTACCATATGGTGCAGCGGTGACACGAGAGTTGTTTTTTTCATGTCAAGAAGACAAAAAGTGAACCACACGTGGGAGCCCGCATCCTCGCGTGGCGCTCATAGGAGACCCAGCACTCCGCAACTGTTAACAGCAGCGGCCGAAAAAAACGGTGATTACGTCACGCGATTGGTCCCCGCTGGAGCTGGGAAGAGGATATGAGATGAGAGGGAGGTCAGCTGCAGTACGCCAGCCCGCCCGACATCTCGGCTCCCAATTGGGGAAAAGAACCCCGCTCGTACCACATGGATGAAACCGCCGTGTTTGGCGTAGCTTATGTAGTCTACAGTGGTGCCTACCATGCATGAGAAGCTGAAAAGGTAGGAACATTTCGTGTACATTTCGTGGGCGCGCCGGGGCACGCTTTCTCTCTAGCCTCAGCTGGGTGACAGTTTTTCGCGGGACTTACCGCTCCGCACATACCGGAGTGGGTGGATGCGGCAAAAAAAGGTTGAAATTAGTGTTTCGCGCGAACCCCCGTCTGTTCGGCCTTCGAGAAAGCTCCACATGCATGCCACATACAGCGTGAGCATATCGGATTGAATCGGGGTTTTCTAGACATGAATCGATGAATAGTGCATGTCCCGGAAGCCATTATCTGAGAGGTGTCTGTTGTTGTGCTCGTCCACAGTCTGAGTTCCGGGTGTTCGGGGGGCTCCATACCAGTGAACGTCGCTACAACGAAGCTAAATTCAGCATCAGTGAACTCAAGTCCAGTCTGGTGTGTTCATCCAAGTAATTTAGCTGCTAGGAAGGCAAATCTACTGGACCACGAGAGGCGACACGCCCAATCTGGGGAAGCGCGTGGGCACTGAGTTTTGAGGCAAGGAACATATTGAAATGAACAACAATGATCCGTGAACGAAAACTAGATCGTTAGATCGTCAAACGAACGGTTGGTTAGGGTATACGAAGCGCTCATGTGCGTTGGATGTGGAGGTGGCGAAAAGGGTTCCGGGAAAATAATGATTATTCCGGAGCGAGAGGTTGGTCTTTACGCTATGAAGAGCCACAATTGTGGTTCTCGTGATTCACTCGATGAGGATAGACTCGAATGCTTCCGTTCGTGTTGCGCCTGCTTGTCTGTTGGTGAGAAAATTGTCATGGTTCAACCAAGCTCGCAATGGTGAACGAACGAAGCCATGGCTCAATGGAGCCAGAACACGCCATGGTGAACGACACGTGCACACAACCGATATCTGAAACACAATGCGGTGGGGATAATCCACAGCGAAACATACGGAACCGCGCGGCCGCCTCACGGGGCAGCCTCCCGGGGTAGCAGTCAACACTCGGCCGCCTCATGGGGAAGCCTCCCGGGGCAGCAGTCAACACTCCTCATTGATTCATGTATGCAGCCAGCAACCCTGCGGTACCCTCGCCCGAACGTCCGGAGACGGTACGTTGGATCAGAAAAGCTCTGTCAAGACTTCGACCTGTGCCAATAGAACCGCGGGCTACACAACAAACGCGATCTCGTGCAGGCTCTTAGTCAGGTTGCCAAGGACCACCCCACGTGTGCAAAATGCGGCCATAGAGGCATCTCTGCACGCGCGCATGAAAGAAATTCACGAAAAATGAAAAAACGGACTCAAGTCGGGCTAGAAGCTGATCAAACTAGGCCCTTTTTTGTTCGAACGCACCTGAAAATGCACATAGCTCGCGGTCCCAGCGGACGCCTCAACAAGATAAGATACAGCGAGCATCTCGAAGACACGGAAAGCGTTTGAATCGAACCAATCGATCGATGTTCCAGACAGACCCGGCCGTTTAGGCCGTAGAGCCGACAACCATGGTGTTTCTCGTTCTTGCACGCGTCCTGCTCGCCGGCGAATAACCCCACCAGTTCACCGCGCTCGCACGAGAGCCTTTATATACGGAAACCTGGGCTCAACCAACGTAGACCGAACGGTGTGGGGGTGTGGGGACTGTGTTTCATGTCATGTTCTCTTGGTGGTGGGCAGCCCCAGTCGGTTGACCAAATAAGGATTCTCTGTTGTAGCAAAGGCGACGCCAGGCTCGACGCCGTCGCCTGTGTCGCCGGGGCTGTTTTTTGCTCTAGCCATATCTTGGTTGTCAAAAGCTGGGCGGTGCCCCCGCCGACTCCTGTACACTCCATTTTCTCCCCTCTCCCGAGTATCGCCCTCTTCATCTTATTGGAGAAATCGTACCAGTTTGAGCAAAACCCCGTCGATCATCACTTCGTCATATATCGGTTTCGGCCTTGTAACGCGAGATAGGGGTGTTTGAATTTGTGCGATTTGAGGACAATCGTCCTGCGGAGCTCTTTGGCGATCGAGCGCAGAACCATGTGTTCAGCTGCCGACAGCCACAGTATGCCAAAAGCAACCCTGCTCGACAGTACCAGAGCCTACCGATGTGGTGCGTGAGTGGTATCGCGTGCCTTGACAGCAGCAGCAGAGAACTAGATATGATTCCAGGAGTTTTTGTGGTATAAATGTCATTGCATGCAGCATCCCAAAATTTGAACAAATCGCCGCATCTTCTGGATACCTTGACGCGTCGTCACCACTCTCCACGTGTGAATGCCCAATCAACAAACGGATTGTAGGCGAACCTTGCTGGTTCGCCGCGCGTTCCCCTATGCCAAAAACAGTCGTGGTTTCGTATTGGGCGCAGTTCAACTATTCGATCTACGGCCCAAACCGTTACAAAATACGCCTTTTTGGTCGGTGTGTTGTCTCCCCCCCCCCATGGAAAGCTGTTTTGTGCAAATCCCTCACGTTTATCAAAATGTTTCGTTTCGTTTGCGAAACGCCATTTCCTGTTCAGCGCTTTTGTTCTGTGAGGAATCTGGCGTAGTCTTAAGCAACCGGTGAACAGAACCTCGACACCAAACAAACAACAAGTGCGGACTATGTATACCGAGCCCACATCTCACAGCACAAGCACCCGCGCACCTCGAAAGTTGCGAATGGGGATAGAAGGCACCGGCGTTATCGTCCTCGGTCCCAACAGCGGCAACATTGCCAGGTTTTGCTTCAGCGGCGCCGGCGGCGAAGGTGGCAGACGCTCTGCCGCCACCTACACCCTCCACGCAGCAGCAGCACAGCGGCCGCAGGGACCCTGATTCCGCGTACAATAGCCTTCCCCCTCCCGCCCGTTGATTTGCGGTGATCAAGGTGCTGGCAAATGCTCTCCCGCTTGTTGCCTGGAGGTTGTTGCCGGGGAGGGAGAGAGGTGTGAGTGACACGTGGAGCTTGCGGCGAACAACACTTTCCTGCTTCCCGGCGACAAGCTACACAACCCAACTAGTTAGTGACTGGGGTGATCATAGGGTACGCACAAATGCTTGGCGACGGTAAGTCAATGGAATAAGAAGAGAAAATCACACGTCCTCCCTTTGAACGACTCGGAGAGTCGGCGAATCAATGGGTCCGGGAAGAGGGGAACACCCATTGACACACAACCTGGTCTGAAAACTGATACCGTCAACCCACTTCCTGTACTTCGGAGACTTCGGAGGCGAAGAGACAAGGAGCATATCCGAAGGAAACTCCAACGTGCGTTTGTTGCTCTTTGCTTCTCGGCTACAATGCGGCGAGAAAAAAAAAACTCCACGGCGAATGCTGCTGCGGCTTAACGAAAGACCGAGGTCAATGTGATTGGTATTTTGTGTACTCGCCTCCCACCGCATACCACACCCAGTAACTCCATAACTCAAAACGAACGCGAATTCGCTCACTGACAAGACCGTACCTACGCAACCCGGCACCCACACCTCAGGTACGAAAAGCGAATCGAACCATCTAAAAGTTGACCCCGAAATCAAGTCGAACCATCGACACAAGTCGACCCCACAGCGAACGTATTTGCTCCGGAATCTACCAGTACTGGACAGAAGCGTGTCACAGCGTTGACAACGCTTCCCCCCGAACACATAACGCACCTGTTGATGTGCATCAGTCGCTTGAGCTCTCGAAAGAAGATCTACGCGGTTTCCTCCGCCGCAAGCATCGGCGTGCCTCCCGCAGAGGTTGCAGTGACTGCTGCTGCTGCGAGCTTCGTCCACGGGAGGAGATGATGAAGAGCCGTCCCCGGGGGTGCGGCGACCGGCGACGCCTCGCAAGGAGACGCTGTTCCAGGCTCCGGTGGCGAGGAGGAAGGCGCGCAGGGAGGAGTTCACGACGAGGTGGCGTTTCGCCCGGGTGACAGCAACGTAAAGGATATTCACCTGTAACATTCACACCACGTCCGGAGGCCTTTATGAAAAAGAGGGTGGATACAACATCAATTGACCAAAAGTTGTCCCGAAGACGACATGTCTATAATTTCGATGCGAGGGGCCCTGGGCACCGATCGCGGCATTGGGCGCGTTCGCCCATCCACCGGCGTCTACCTCTCTCGATGTGGATCGCCTTGGCCTCACGAATCCAACGGAATAACGCGCATGAATGTGTTCTACATCGCGTCCACCTGCCAACGACATATGCTTAGCCTTGTCCTCCATCATCGATAAAGACAAAGGAGACTACGCTCTACCGATCGCTGAGTGCCGCAAATGCACGAGTGATCGCACACCAACTAGATCGCTAAATTGCTCCACAACCGACCCCGACCGATGCGCGCATGGAAAGCCGTCAAGATATTTCCATGACTGCGCTTTTCGGATTTGGCAATGGGGGCCCGTGAACATCGATCCAAGGAGCGTACGACCATTTGCACTACAATACGGCAACCCAACAACCCGAACAAAATCGTTCGTACCTCTTCCTTCTCCGCCTCCGAGTCCCACACCGGCTGCGGACAAGGCTCGGTAGTCCAGCGGATATCGTCCACCTCGATGAAGTCGTCAGCCAACACCACCGTGTCGAATTCCAAGCCCTGCCGTCGCGACATGATCGAAATCATCATCGCCGAGGAGGGGTCGGGATTGGAAGAGACCTCGCGAAAGATAATTCCTAGGTTCGAAAAACAAATTCTTGGCGTGTAGACTATTGCGACATCCCTAAACGCTGAATAGATTCGTGTTTTCGCCCTTGTACGATCTGGTGTCATACTGGGAATCAACACGGTAATAGACCGCACGCGTGCCGTTGAGGTATCTCATAAATGGCAATCAGAGCGGCCGACCAATCAGCACTTCCTTCGTCTTGATGCTACCAAAACCGAAAGAACGACGACAGCAACCCTTCTGCTTCCTACCACAACCTTTTTTTTCTTTACATGCTTGCGGCGCCTAATCTGTCCTCTTTGCCGCCCGTACTCCCACCCGCCAAACACACCAACGCCGCCCCCCCTTGAACATTGGAAACGAAAACCCATGTAAGAAGTTAATTCATGGGCTCGGCAAGTTTACTTATGCGCTTTTTGAGGACTTTGCATCGAGCCACTCCAACGAAATTCCACAGGAACCATGTGAACAATGAGAAAATAAATCACCTTGGCCTTGTGGACGGTGCTCAACAGAGTATCAGCCTCGCGGGGATGAACCTGCTGGCGCTGGATCTCTCGGAGCTCTGACAGCAACGCTTGAGGGTCTTTTCCGTCCAGCATCCGCAGCTGCGAAAAACAATATCCGAACAGAAATCGAGGTCAACAATGGTGAAAAAAGGAAACCAAAGTAAACCTACAGAATGGACGTTCCCAGCCTCAACGGCTCATACAGCTGGCGTGTGTTGACTCGAAGAGCCTAGCCAACCTCAAAACCCCGAAGGAAACAAATACTCTAAATCTGCATTTAGTCTTACGGGAGTGCTTGGTCAATGCACTCCAACGTTTAGGTTGGGTTGGTGGCGGGGAAGAGATATACCGTAGGTTACACGAGACACTATACCACCCTGGACCGATCGCAAAAGATCGATTTCTCCATGACAAAGAGGATGGCAACATCGTTTGACGCGTCTGCGGAAAGCCCTCGACAACACGGTTCCACATTATCCATTTTCCGCACCAACAATGCTATTGATGCAGGGAAAAAGGGCTTTGGAGAGCGGTACAGGGGATGCGTTTTCTAGGCACCCTGTCGTAAAGGTCGTTGGTGAAGTAATGGCTCAGTAGAACTGCGTCCAGCAGACAAGCCTAGTAGGCCAAAGCGAACAAGCACGACCGTGTCATTTCTCGTCATATACATACCTGTTCTCCAACATCCACAGCAACAACGCGAAACAACCGACAAGGACATCCACCCAACTCACAGCTGCAACACCAGACCACACCCCATATTTCCTCCGCAAAGCATTCAACTATGACCCATCAGTCCTTGGCATCGGTTTCTGGCGAAACGAGATCGATTGCTACGCATTCAGCCTCGTGGTACCCGCTCCTCACCCGGTTGGCCCACTGCCGGTCTCGAGACTCTTGGATAAAGCGAACAAGCTTCTTGATGGTCTTGAGCTTCTTGAGCAAGACGTGCTTCACTTCCTCCGACCTTCCCATGGCCATAAGGCACATGTCTTCGATCGCCTGTATTCGTGTCGCAGGATGCGGTACGAATAACGAGAGCTCGCTCGGCCGTCGTTGGCCGCAAGAAAACCCATTTCGCAAATGTTGTGGAGGAACCTTGTGCCCGCCAAGCAACACACAAACCTCAAAGAGGCACGAGTTCTACCGCCCACGGTGAGACGTGTTCCAGAGCACTCTCGTCGTTGGCCACGAGCGACACCTCCTTGATGGTCAGTCTGGAGACCATCAAGCTGGAACACGTGCGACTGCAGTTACGTTTGTTGCTGTCGTCGCTGCTGGAACAAAGAAGTCCCGGTAATCCACCGCCTCCGAAATAATCGAATCTTTATCATCTCAACTACGTACATAAATGCTCCCAGTTCCACGCGGTTCGCAGCGTGTAGTGAGATAGTCTTTGAGACCGGATCGGTTAACAGGGAAGGGCTATCCGAACAAGAATGACACGGACAGAAACAAAGGCCGTGTCTCACGATATAGACCCAAGCTCGGCAGAGCTTGGGAACTGGCTCGAACGCGTTAGGAATGACGGTTACGTGAGGAATGACGAACAATCTCCGACCGGCCGCCAACGGCCACGAAACTCCTGTTCTCGTTTGGGGTGTAGATGTTGTTGTTTCTGTTACTTTCGTTTTCTTTGTTGTCGTTCTTGGTGGGAACGCTAACTAAGTCACCGGGATTGGTGAAATGGTGGTGGTAGAAAACAGCGACCGCTGGCCCCGCCCTACCCACCTCCAGGCTGTAGGTCTGCGCACCGCCCACCCAGGCAACCTTTTCACCTCGGGACCTGGCCCACATCGCGGCGTGAACAAGGGTAGACACCGTTCTGGAGCACAGACAGACGGCACATCGAGAAACAAAACAACATTGAGTTAGCCCGAACACAACGAAACTATGTCTCGAGGCCGGATTCGACGACCGCCAGTGCGAGGGGCGACGCAAAACGAATGAAAATAAGATAGGACATACTGCCTCGTAGCCAGACGAACCTTGCGAGGAACGCGATCGGCCGCTTCACCGTGCGTTCCTGGTCCTGCCACACTTCCAGCCCCGTCCCGCCTGAAAGCACCACCTGTTGGGCAGACGCGGAGTTCACACGCGGGACACACCAAATTGAGCGCCAACGAAGGACAAAAAAAAACACTCGTGTTAGGCAAGAACAGGCTGAGCCACGCGAGGCGCGCAATAGTGAATCGATTCAAGACAGACACGAAATATCGCATGAACGAACGAGGCACTCAATGCATGAATTGACCACCCGAAAAGGAACAATGATGCGAAATTTCGCCACCACGAACGACGAACCTACTAGTGTGCGTCCTGACAGTCTTGAAAGAGCGTTGGTCACACTTGGTCATGTATAGAACTCCCACCAACGTCTTCACAATAAGACTCGAACAAGATTCAGCCCTAGTTCTGGTTTTGCTTCCTGAAAGTGGACAACCATTGAGCAAGCATCTATCGCACCAGGCAAACCCACAAGTATGAAGCGCAAAAGAGGTACCCACGACAATAATGAAACAAGCAAGTCTTTCTTGCCTATACAAGGCGAAATCTTGGTGTCCAACGCAAGCGTGCTCCGCAGGGAATCCCCCAGAAAAAACTCGCCAGGTGCACACAGAGCTAGAAGTGAGCAAACTTGAACGACGCGTACAACCAACAGACACCACCAACGAACGACGCCTTGAAACAGCGAAGGAGAAGGAGAAGGAAAAGGAGGAGAAGGAGAAGGAGAAGGAGAAGGAGAAGGAGAAGGAGAAGGAAAAGGAGAAGGAGAAGGAAAAGGAGAAGGAGAAGGAGAACTAGAAGCTCAAAAGCACGCCATGCGAACCATAAACCATGGGATCTCTCAAAAATGTGCCCAGAACATGTGTACATGCATAGAGAAGGTGTGGGTTTCGATGTTGTACGTGAAAGATTGAAATCACCTTGCCCTGCTTCCCGGCGCAGCCAAGCAAGGGCCTCGTCTCTCCCTTCAGAGGACCCACGAGACTGTTGGCCACGTGAGCGATCGATTGACCAAACCGGAACACCTGTCCACAGGAGCCGAAACAAAGCAAGCGTGCAGGAGTTTGAAGTCCAGCACAATGTACATCGGTTGTTTAACAACCTGAGTGGTGGAGTCGTGTAACATACTTTCCTGTGTCATCCACGCAACAAAAGAGCAGTGTTCGAAACCTATCTACCGGAGGTGTATACAGCCCCATCGTATGTTTACCAGTGCCAACGTTGCGAGAAAACGTCCATGCGTCACGTGAATCTTCCAACCTCCACCTGAGGGAGTCATGAGTGGCTGTTGCTGTTGTTGTTGTTGTTGTTGTTGTTGTTGTTGTTGTTATTGATGTTGTTGTTGTTGCTGCCTTCACATTAAAAACCGTTCCGACCTCTCTCTACCCAGTACCTTCGTATGTCCGTACTGATACAACACTCGACGCGGTCGATTCCTGTGGTCGCAGGCTAACCTACCCCAGAAAGGTACACTCAAATAAAATGGCCCCAAGGGGTCCGCAAGTCAATAGAAATCAACGACAGATATTCTGGATTCCTCCATTCCCTCTGTGCGCTATGCGGGGTAACACCTGAGACTAGGAGTCACCATCACGGGCCGGAGAGAATGAGGTGCAGTATGTTCCATCGAAAAGATAAAGCGCCCCATCCATCCTCAAGCGCACAGGCAGCACGACACCCAGGATCAGACTTGAGCTTATGAATCGCAAAAACAACCCCTGCTCCTTCTTTCGATTCAGAACGCCTCCAAGAGATCCAGCGTTAGTGCCGCAAAATCAACGCGTATGTTCACACCGGTCGCCCCGGTGGTCTAGTGGGTAGCCTCGCAGCCTGCTAAGGGCCAGGTCATGGGTTCGAGTCCCGGCAGAGAGAGTTGTTTTCTCACTAAATAAATCCTGGTCTAGGATGAAAGCGACGCGCTGCAAAGCTCGTTTGTTAGTAAACCATAATCGACTTCGTAAGTCGCGAGGGAAGGGATTGCTGTACCCTTCTCGCGATAAAAATACCTCAGGCATGAACCGCAGGAGGGGGTCCAACACCCCCTCCTATGTGACCCCGGTTCGGTCGTTTAGCTAGTAGAAGTGGAGGATAGGGGCCAGAGGGGCAGACGACAGAGTCCAATGATGGGAGAAAAACAAACAAACAAAAAAAAAAACACGTTATTCACCTGAGTAAGGTGTCGAATTTTCCCTCCTTCCACTCGCTTTAGGTGGTCCTCCGCTCCGATGAAACCGTAGATAGCCTTGACAACAGAAGGAGGGGGTAAGAAGGCATCGAAAAGCAATCAATCCTCGTTGGTAAGGTTATATCAATGCCCACACCTCACGAGACGCGACGTCCGATATGCATGGTACGGGATAGGTTAGGCTGTTCGGCGACAAAATACAAGTGAAATTCGATTTCTGATGGAAACGCAGCAGAATGAAAGGCGGGGATTACAGGCCGCCCTTCATCATGAAAACTGCAATTTTCTGCGAGTACTTTAAGGGAAACTCTGCACGGGTGCCCCTAGCCGTCCATAAAGCCGAAGACGCTCCAAGAAGCCGACAGGGGGGACGGGTACCAAGCGGTTACCAGAAGGTCTACGAAGTCCTCTTGCGTTTGAGAACCCGGCTTTTCGGTGCAACAAACCCGTTGGCACAAGCGCATGAGTTTGGTGCAGATGACTAGTGCACACAAAAACAACAAACAAAGCACAGTGTCAAGCCCGGACACGACCCTTGCCCGTTAGGTGCGGAGCAACAGATACAGGCCAGCCAGTTGCACCAGGGCCAGGAGAAAGCAACAACGAACACCAATACCTACGGCAAGCGCCAACAGCATCTCTCTCTCTCTCTCTCTCTCTCTCTCTCTCTCTCTCTCTCT